ATTTTCTTGAAGCAAATATATATATTGTTATATGACTGTATATCATCATTTGCAGAAGCAAAAGAGTACAAATTCAAAAATTCGTAAAGACTCTAACAGCCATGTAAACAGCCTCGGAACTCCAACTTGCAGATCTTGGATTGAAATATTTTCTTCTTAAAAGTTGTTCGTCCGCTCAGTATCTACAACATATCAAAATTTCAGAAAACTCTAACGGTGCGATCGTCGCAGAAGTTTGAAATACCAAACCAGTTTCTAATTTCCGCAGAAAACTGGACAGCCACCTTATGAGTACCACAACCCCATTTCTGTAGCTCAAATCGAAATTGTTTCTTCACGAAAGTTGTTTAGTATCCTCTTATCCATATCATACTAAATTTTGAACTAAAGCTAACGGTTTGATCTTCTCATAAGTTGCAGACACTCTTGACTCCAAAATTTATGGGAACCGTTTCGACTTTTTCGAAACTCACGGAGGAGGAACACCAATTGGAACTTATTGTTACTATTATTTACTGAGTAACCAAAATGACTTTAGAACTATGAAATAAAAATAAAAATAAAAGGAATCAAACAAAAGAAGTGGCAGACCAAGAAAAAGAAAAAGCAAAAGATGAGGACTTAATCATTGCATTTTCTGTTTTGGCATATTTATGTGTATGGTGTTGGTTTAAAGCCCATGTCACAAGTTCTATTTATTTAAAGCAATTTATTTATAGTGGGTAGAATTATTACCTTTTGCCTTAAAGCTTTGATATTTATGTGAATGGTGCTGAATCAAAGTCCTTGTCACAAACTTTATTTACTTTAAAGCAATTTATTTACCATGGACGGTTTTACCGCCTATTGTTTAAGTTTTGATTTATGTGAACGATGTTGAATTAAAGCACTTGTCACAAGCTTTATTTATTTAAATGCAATTTATTCATTATGGCTGGAATTACCGCCTATTGCTTTAATTTATTTATTGTACTTATCTTTTGTTACAATGAGTATATATAGGACCTGAAGTTTCTTGATCAGATCAAAACCTGCAGTTTCTTGATTCTCATCATATAAAAAATGATTGGACCTGAAGTTCCATCATGCAAAAGGATCAGGCATGAAGTCCCTTGATCTTGAAGATCAAGACATGAAATTCCTTGATGAGTATCGCAAGTTTGAAATGTCACAGTGCCTTAACTTAATTGTAATAAAAGCCATAAGAGTCTCAGTCTACAGACTATTTAATAAGGACTAGAAGTTCCTTATGTCCATACTCAAAATGGTTTAGCAGAAGCATTTATTAAGAGGATGAAATTGATTACCCGCGCTCTGCTTATGAAAACGAAATTGCCAGTTTTGACATGGGGACATGTCATTTTACATAATTCACTATTAAGTTTGGTTGAGACCAGTTACCAACCATCAATATTTCTCAGTACAACTCGTGTTTAGGCACCAGCCAATCATTACAGGTTTATGAGTTTTTTGTTGTGTTCTATGTGCCTATTGCACTGCCACAACGTATTGAAATGAGGCATCATCGCGGATTAGGCATTGATGTTGAACACCATCTATCATTCAATATTTGGAATCCTTGACTGGGATATGTTTACCGCGTGGTTTGCGGACTATCATTTTGATAAGACAAATTTTCCGCCATTAGGGGGAGAAAATAACATTATTCCAGAAGAACGATGAGAAAATATCATTATAGAAGAATGATAAGAAAATACCGTTCCAGAAGAACGAAGAGAATTTGTCTTATTTTGATTCACGAAGCAATCAATGAGAAAATGAAATAGGAATAATTGAATGATGCAACGAAAGTGATGAAATTATATATACTTGCTGCAAATGTGCCTACAAGAATTGATGTCCTTGTTGGACAAAATAATGAGACAGTAAATGATTTATTTGTTGCACGCCTGAAGCGTGGCAGACTTTTAGACTCAAAAGGTTTAGTCATTTGAAAGAAGAAGAATATGGCACTACTGAACTATTACATTCCCGAAGCATAACTGTTGCATGCCAGAAGCATGACAGTCGCCGCTAGGGGTGGATCGGTATGGGATCCCGATCCGAAAATAGGATCCCGAATTCCAAACCGATTCTTTTTGGGATGGAAATCCAAATCCCGATCCCAAACCAAAATTTCGGTATTCCCGAATTTCGGGATTCCCGAAATATTTTCGGGATTTCGGTATGGTTTCGGGATTCCAATTCAATAGAAATTTGGCTTCTTGTTAATAGAAGAAGCTGATAAATTCATTTCAAACCTGCAGATCGAGCATGCAAAGCAGAAAAGAAATCGAACATGCATAGCAGAAATCGACCATGGAAATCCAGAAATCCAAATCTACCAAATCCACATAAAATTAATCCAGAAATCCCCATAAAATTAATCAAGAAATCCAAATCCAAATCCAAACAATTAAAAGCTCTAAATAGTAAATCCCTAATTTATAAATCCTAATTCAAAGCCTAATTCAGAAAAAGCTTCAGAGAGGATAGAGAAGATGGGTCGAGCTTCGAAGATTTGAGAGAGCTTTCGGCAGTAGCTCCTTCCTCTCTCTGCTTCTCAACACGAAGAGCTGCTCTCTGTCTCAGGAGTCAAAACCAAACTCAAGAGCTTTCGGCAGTAGCTACTAGCTCCTTCCTCTCTCTTCCCTTCTCTGCTTCTCAACCCCAAGAGAGCTGCTCTTTACGCCTTCTGTTAGTGGGAGCCAAAAGCCTCTGCTTTTGAGTTGGGAAGTGGGAGAACCGAAAGCCAAAAGCCAATTTTGTGCCTTTTCTTTTTTAATATTATTTTTCTACCTTCACTTATTTTTAATATTATTTGTGTGCCTTCCCTTATTTTTAATATTATTTGTGTGCTTCTGTTAATGGGAGCCAACCTACTTTTGAGTTGGAAAGTGTGAACCGACTTCTGTTATGGGAAGTGTGAATTGAAAGCTAAAGAAACAAAACGTTTCGGGATTTCGGGAATACCGAACGTATGGGATTTGAAAACCAATCCCATACCGAATACTTCGGTATTTTTCGGGATAGGAATACCGAACTTCTGGATGATTTTGGTTTGGGATTTTTTGGTTTGGGTTCGGGATTTTTTCGGTTTGGTTTGGGAATTTCGGGAATTTTTTCCAGCCCTAGTCGCCGCATGGATACACGTCCCAGATATGACAATCCACGAAAGGGACAAAATTAACCATTTTTGTTGACAAAATATGTCAATATCCTCATTAAGTGGAGGAGTTGGTTAGACAACAATACCCCAAAAAAGGTAATCGCGCGATTGCTCACATGACAATTTAACAGAATATTGACAAATTTCTCATGGAAGAACCAAAATGATGTACAATGGACAAACTCATGAATCACTTCTATCAAATTCCATTGTTAGGGCCAGAGTGACATTTTGGCTAAAAAGAGTTGGTTTGACAAAAATACCCTTAAAAAGGTGGTCAAGTGGTAGCTTACGTAACAATTTAACTATGATGTTGATAGATTTTTCACAAAATGATCAAAATGATTTACGATGGACAAATTCAATGACCACTTCTATCGATTTTCAATCTCATAAATTAAAATGAAGAGTTAGGCTAATCTCAAGATTATTTTGACTAAAAAAATCATAAACAAATAATTGATATCGGTATGGAGAAAGAGTTGAGGAAATAAATCATTAAATCTAATGGGGTTCATCATTAATTTTTAATTACTATAGGATTTGTTTTTGGTTATAATAATCGACTACTCAAGTATGAGTAGAAATTCCTATTCAAAATTCGTCATATTCAAATAACAAAATTTTGTACTTATGATTAAAATTGTTCATATTATGAATCTAAACATCATTTCTGCAAAAAAATGAATTAAAACTAAAATCGTTTAGCCAATCTATTGTAGTAAATACATAGATGGTTTGTAATGCTTTGACCAATTCCGTTCATTTGTTTTATACAGTTCGATGTTTAAACGACCTTAGTTTGATTTTTTTTTTTTTTTTTTTTTTTTGCAGAGATGATATTTATAAAGTAATTTATAATACGAATAGTTCTAATCATAAACACGAAATTTTGTGAATCGACAACGAACTATTTTAAGTAGATACTTTTATTCATCCTTTAAATGTCAATTGTTATTCTATTTTTTAAGCTAGCTTTCAGTTAGGAGTTACCCACAAACTGTAGTCCTTTTTCCAGGTACCCAAAATAGTAATTTTGTAGCACAGTTTCACTCTCTAAATGCAGATATTCAATCATGTAAATATGATTTTGAGTTTTTACTTCACCTTCACTATTAACTAACCTTTGGCTGAAGCATGAGAGGACTTACATAAAACGGATTCGTAGTCACAGTAATGTTTGTGTTGAACAATATAATGTTATGTGTAAATTTCTTTTTACATGATATTATATTATTTAATTAAAACATTATGCAGCGATGAACTTGTTTCATGTAAATTGCTCTTTCCGAAACAAAAGATGAAAAACACATAGAAGAAAGAAAGAAAGAAAGAAAAATAGAAAAAAACAGAGGTGTAGCTCCTAAAAGTAAAAAGGATAGATGGAGTGAGCTGTCGTACTGATGGAAGAACATGATGAGATAACAGAGGAAGATGTTTAATCTAACGGCCACGCCTTCCTAACTCAACCATGGCATTCATTTCACCATTAATGACTTTTCCAGTTGTGGTTGAAATGATCTGAACTACAGCTGGTCGAGCTGCTGCATTCCCTGTTGTATTATTTACTTTTATAGTAATAATATGTAATATTTTTTGAAAAAAATATTCTCATGGGAACAAATGTTATTATTTATTTATTTATTTCATGAACTTAGAGGTATTTTTTTCTAGGAAAAATTTGAAATATGTTTAATTTTATAGGTCTATTTTTGAAATATGTCCAACTTTTAGTGATTTTTGACTTCTGAAATAGGTCAAATTTTTAGTTGCTTTTAACTCGTGTCAAAATATCCTTCTTTCTTGGTATATATAGGTGTGCGCACACACAACAAGGCCAACCAGTGGAAGCCACATAGAGGTTGAAGAGGCAGCTTCTTCTTGGTGACCGAGTGAGAGAAGTGCTTTTCAGTGGCGTTTGTCTGCTGCCCTTTCAAATGGCCTTGGTTTGGGCGGTGAAGAAGCAGCTCCTTCTGCTTTTGGCTTTTTGGCTCGTCAACTTTCTCCCTTCTTCTCATGGTTCTTTTTCTTCCTCTCACTTCTCCTCCGCCACCTTATCTTATGCCTTCACTTCTCTCTGTTTTTACTTCCTCTGTTTCTCAAGGTTCTTTATGTTTGATTAATAGGGTCTACAAGTTTCGTACAACTCCATGAAATAAGAGTGGAATCACCGTATATAAGTTACCCTATTTTTATGTTTTTGAATTTTTTTTGTATTCATCTTTATGATCATGCATAAATATTGTCTTGGGGTGTTTTTTTCTTGCAGTAATCATGATGTTTGGATACAATAAGTAGAAAATGTGCCCATTTGGTAATCTCCTAATTAGATGGACAAACACTAATTAGGAGATGATCAAAGGAACGTTCAACTAGTTTGTTTTGGTTTTAACATTGTTGGTTATATGCACCATTTGTTGGTTCAGTTCACTCTTTTCCTTTCCCACTAGGAAAAGCAAATGCAAGAACTTAAGGGGTCGCTGGTATTCGATTTGAAAACAATTAATGGTTTCAAAAATGATGAACGTAACTAAATTACTCGGTATTCATGAGTTTCAAAAACAAAAAATTGGATCCAAGAGGACACTGAACGTAACTAAATTACATGCCCGTTTCTGTAACTGCAGGGAAGGGGAATTTCTATGAGTTCAGGTACCCATTCATCAAGAGAGCAAGCTCCTTCCCATCAGTATCATCATCTTCGTCCAGTGGGCACAACAATGGCTATGACTACATAGTTGTGGGAGGAGGCACAGCTGGGTGCCCATTGGCCGCAACCCTCTCAAAGAACTTCAATGTCTTGGTGCTTGAAAGAGGGGGAGTCCCTTTTTCCAATGCAAATGTCTCATTTCTTCAAAACTTCCACATTGCTTTGGCAGATACTTCACCTACTTCTGCATCCCAACCTTTCGTTTCAACAGATGGAGTCATCAATACTAGGGCTAGGGTTTTGGGTGGGGGCTCTTGCATCAATGCCGGCTTCTATACTAGAGCAAGCACAAGGTATGGTGAAAATCTATTCTCTTTTTGGAACAAAAGGAAGATAATTAGCCAATTGTTTCTTTTCATTTGATGGTTTAAGTGGGGGTGTTTAGTTGCTTAACCAATTGAGTTCAAGTAGATGAAGGACAAAATAAAGGAAAAAAAAAAAAGAGCTACTAGATCCATCCCATTGTCTTATTTTCCCACCCACGTTATAATCCCACCCACCTTAAAAAGTTAAAAAATTAAAATGTTATTTCCCCACCTACTATTTTCTCAAAATAACCTTTAATATATACATACATGTGAAATTATAAAATTGTCTCTTAAAAAATATAAACATATAATATGTAAATGAAAATCACTAAGATCTGCAAATTCAAATAGAAACAACAGAGGTATCCAAATTCAAAAGAATTCGACAGCGACAAATTCAAAAATACGATGGACAAATTCAAATGACCCACACACAAATTATTCTTCTACCTTTTCAATGGAAACATAATCTTCTACCTCTTCCGTTGAAGCGCCATCTTTCACCTCTTCAATGAAAAAGTCACCTTCTAAGTCCACTGATATTTTTTTACTTTCTTTGAATGAAAGGAGATGAAAATATGAGTTAGGGTTTAAGGTAGACAAATCGTCTCCCACGCCCAACCTTTTTATTTTTTTTAAATCAAGCAAAACAAGATAATTAATGTCATTTTCAGTCTGTCTACAAATGGACAAATTTGTAATTAAAAAATTTATTAAAAGGTAGGTGGGAAGATAAGACATTGGGGTCAGAATAACATGGTGAGTGTGTAAATTGCTTTTAAGCCTCAAGGATTCACCACCCTCATGGAAAAAGTGAGGAACAAAAAAAAAGAAGCCTTGGTTGCCCTTTCTTTCTTATATGCAAATCAGAGTTTGACATATGTTTAAAAAACTTTTCATTTTGTAGTTTTTTTGTATACGTGTCAATGTTTGATTTGCTGTTATAGAGGAACTAGTTTATTTTTACGTAACTTTATTTTTTTATTTTTAAGAAAAAGTGCAAGGCTAGGTAGTGCGTGTGGGTTTTTGATCTTGGTGTTTTTGTGTTTTTCATTTTTAATCTTTGATGTTAAAACATTACATTATGGTCATCTGAAAGTATATTACTTTTGATAGGTAAGCATTGATTTTTACAATTAATGGATGCCTCCCTTATTGTTGCTTCCTTGCCATGTTATGGGTATTATTATTGTCATGACTCCCACCACCCATTGTTGTTGTTTTTTTTCCCTTGTGCATTAACTTTAACAAAATACTTTATGCCCTTATTTTACAATAATTATCATCTACATTTAGAAAGAAAAAAGTCATTATCTACTAGAGTCCAACTAAATGAATCTTGTCTATAGGTATATTTGATGAAACTTAATGGTGTAACACATGAAAGCTTCAGTAAAAATGTGTGCCACTTAACTCATGGATCATTCTGCAGATCTGAGTTTAATCAAGTTGGTTAGAGAAGTTTGCTCCATTCTCTACACCTAAGTTTGAATCTTCATCCCGTAGTTTAGAGAAATTTAATATAATTATCCTTTTTTTTTTTCAAAAAATCATGGATCGCCCCAAAAACAGACACACATATATAATTTGGGTGCTATAATTGATTCATTAGGGGGCTTAACCCATGGATGGTGACCGTACGATTTTAGTTCATGACAATGCATGTACATTGTTAAACCATATCAAGGCATTTATCGTATAGTCTTTTCCTTTCTGTTTTCTTCTATAGACTAAATGCTAGTTGTGTGCCCCATGTTCTAAAACTTAGTAGCCATTTTTATGGAGGTAGACTAGGCAGTGAGATTGTTAGACCAAACAAGTGTAACATTTATAGCGTGTTTACCTAACGGGATTGAAGTGGGAAGCAACAGAATCGCACTCCTCTTAATTCTTAAAGCATTCCAGTGTTTACTAACATCTATTTCTCTGTTTGCCAACTCACACCTTGACGACTACCACGACACCACCCTTACAACTTCACGACAACACCAGCAAGACCACAAAAATCACAAGTTTTACTTAAAAGAAAAAAGAACTAGCATATAAAAATAGAGATTATTTGGAATAAGGACATTTTAATAATCACATTAGTTTTTATTCTGATCCATTTGAATTAGTAAACAGCTTATATAAATCAATACTATTCATACTCAAAGTTTTGACACAATTTTAATAAGAATTTGATTCTGAATCTACCTTATTTCAATTCCTCCTTAATTCAATTTCTCTACAATTTACTTTACCTCGTTTTTGTTACGGGTTAGTGAACGAGCATTAAGGCAACCCTAGTCATTAGTTAATGCTTGCATTTATTCAAAGTGGTCCGTGGTCTTACAAGCACGAAACAATGCATCCTATAACCTACCTGTATGATTTCTTCCCTCTAGTTTTATCCCCACCTACCAATATTTGACCATAGAAAAAACAAAGTGCAATTATTTTCTTTTCTTTTCTTTTCTGAGTTGGAAAAATAGTTAATTTAAAAAAAAATAGTTATTATTAATTCAATTCAAATATGAGGGGACCTAAAGTCTGATTCTGACTACAGTCATCATCTCATTAAGATTTAATGTGTGTGCTTAATTGCTTAATTTAATGTTCTCTGTTTTTTATAATGTTGAAGCCTGATTCTATGTGTGCTTAATATTGAATTAATGTATCCAAAAGTGAATACTCAAATGTGTATATCAAAATGTACATACCAAAATGCATTATATTGAGTTAATGTATATACCAAAATATTCAAATGTATTAATGTACCTAAATGAAGAACATACAAAATTGTTGTCGGAATGTATATTATAGAAAAAATTAGTTGCCTAAATGTAGACAATAAAATATATTATGATGAATGAAATGAAATGAAAATTTAAATGAAATTAATACATTAAAATAGGAATAAAAGGATAAATAAAACATCAAAATATAACTAATAAATGAGATGATTAAATGTACTAAAATTGGATTTGAATCTTACACAAAGTTATAGTCTAAAACTCATATTTTTTAAGAATTAAAATGAAGTTTTCTATATATATGCAGGTTTATAAAGAGAGTGGGATGGGATGCCAAGATAGTCAATGAGTCCTACCCATGGATTGAGAAGCAAATTGTTCACCAGCCTAAGCTTGAGCCGTGGCAGGTGGCCATAAGGGACAGTCTTTTGTCTGTTGGAGTTTCACCTTTCAATGGCTTCACTTATGATCACGTTTATGGAACCAAGGTTGGAGGAACCATTTACGACCGCTTTGGCCGCCGTCACACTTCTGCCGAGCTACTGTCGTCTGGGAACCCTCAGAAACTCACTGTCTTGGTCTATGCCACGGTTCAAAAAATTGTCTTTGACATATCAGGTAATATTTTGATAGCACAAAATAGGATTTAGAGCATTTAATTGGTTAAGAGCATTCACTATCGCACTCAAGGTCCTGAGTTTGGTTCCTTTTTTTTCCCTAATATCGCTCATTGAATAGAATCCACATTCCATCAACTTAAGCATAATTATTTTCTGACTTGGGAGCAGCCTCTCCATAAATGGGGGTAAGGCTAGCCAACATTCACCTCTTCCAGACCCTGCGTAAAGCGGAAGCCTTGTGCACTGGATACGAACTTTTTAGTGATTAAGCAACCAGATTATTTTGATTAATGCAGGGAAGAAACCAAGGGCAGTGGGAGTGATCTTTAAAGATGAAAAGGGGAATCAGCACCAGGCATTGCTTGCTGATAAGCCACAGAGTGAAGTGATATTGTCTACTGGAGCAATTGGAAGCCCTCAAATGCTATTGCTAAGTGGGATTGGACCAAAAGCTGATCTCCAAAAATTGAAAATTCCAGTGGTGCTTGATAACAAGTTTGTTGGGAAGGGCATGGCTGATAATCCAATGAATGCAGTGTTTGTCCCAAGCAGCAAGCCAGAAAAGCAGACACTAATTGAAACTGTAGGGATCACCAAGATGGGTGTCTACATTGAAGGCAGCAGTGGGTTTAGCCAGTCCAAGGATAGTATTCAGTGCCACCATGGAATTATGTCAGCTGAGGTAAGCTACTTATTGGTATTTAATGACGAAGCTGGAGAATTTTTTTTGTCTGACCGTAACACTGTCATGTGGTATTACTAATTAACATGTTATGTCAGGTAACATCATTGATGGTGTTACACTCGCACTAAAAAAAATTCTCATGACGCTCAGTCCATGTAATGTTCCCATGAGTATAATTTTTGTCCTATATATTTCATGAATTTCATTTTCATGTATTACCCTAATAAGTGGGGGTAAGGCTAGCCGACATTCACCTCTCCCAGACCCTGCGTAAAGCGGGAGCCTTGTGCACTGGGTACGACCTTTACCCTAATAAGTAATATATTACCTAGTATTACTAATCTCTGTCTTATAACTGATGGTAGTGTTACGGTCAGACTGAAAAATTTCTTGTGATGCTCAATCTTCATAAGATTCTCATGGATTTGATTTTCTTTTATTGTTATACAAATTGTAGATTGGGCAGCTATCTACTATTCCCCCAAAGCAAAGAACACCAGAAGCCATTCAAGCTTATATTAGGAGCAAGAAAAACTTGCCCCATGAGGCATTCAGAGGAGGCTTCATTTTAGAAAAAATTGCCAGCCCACTTTCCAAAGGTGATCTTAGCCTTGTCAACACCAATGTTGATGACAACCCCTCAGTCACCTTCAACTACTTCAGCCACCCATATGATCTTCAACGTTGCGTTGATGGAATCCGCATGGCCACGAAAGTTGTGCAGTCAGAACATTTCACAAACTACACAAAATGTGACAGGCAAACTGCGGAGAAGGTGCTTGACATGAGTGTGAAGGCTAATGTTAACCTTATACCAAAGCACACCAATGACACGAAGTCCTTGGAGCAGTTCTGCAAAGACACTGTGATCACTATTTGGCACTACCATGGAGGGTGTCATGTGGGAACTGTGGTTAGCCCCGAGCACAAGGTTCTCGGTGTAGACAGGGTCCGGGTTGTTGATGGCTCGACGTTTTCTGAATCCCCGGGGACTAATCCTCAAGCCACTGTCATGATGATGGGCAGGTATATATGATCACATGAGCATTAATATGTTTAGATGAAATCTCCTGCTCCTTCAGAAGAACTGAAACTTAATATATTTAGACGAATTTAGGTAGAACATCGCTCGTATAAAAACATAATATGTTGTGTTTGATATGGTGCAGGTACTTTGGAGTGAAGATTGTGAGAGAGAGATTGGGAACAGCAGCTGGTATATAATGTTAAGGAAATAAGGCCCAAGTAGCCAGTAGGATTTTAAGAGGTGACTCAGAGGGTTAGTTGAAAAAGTGTGTTGTGATGTAATTTTGGTTGTTTGATTCTTAGGAAGCTTTGATGTGTAAAAATTGCTTACCTCCCCTGGGAAATCCGTGTTATGATTATCTCTTAATTCTATAATCTTGACTAAGTGGCTTGGTATTAAGGCGAATGATCTCAGAAGTTCAGGTTTTAAGCTTTTGTATTCGGGCACAAACAAATTGAGAAATGGTGTTGAAAACATCGTCGATAAGCCTTTAGCAAAAGATGTTGTAGTTGTTAAGAGGATTAGGATCAGAATTATAGCAATCAAGATTTTGATAGAACAAGAAGAGTGATCACACGATACCCTCCATGTTCTCAACAGTTTTCATAGAGCATCCTTGGTACACCAGAATTGTGAACTTTGGTGGGTCTCTGTGCTGAAGGGGAAGGCTAGGGCTTTAGATGTAAAAACCTTAGTGGACTCAATTGTGAATTTGGGCTGGTTTGATATAGAAGATTGAATTAAAATGAATTAACCTTATAAATGCAAGACATTAAAGGTAGAATAGAATGATTTTTTATTTTTGGTGCGATGGCAAGTGCCTTCGCTCATGAGCGGTAGGTCTCGGGTTCGAGACTTGAGAGCAGCCTCTCCATAAATGGGGGTAAGGCTAGCCGACATTCACCTCTCCCAGACCCTGCGTAAAGCGGGAGCCTTGTGCACTGGGTACGACCGACGGAATTAAAAGGGAATTAGACACGAAGAAAACTTCTCACATCTAATCCTACTATTTTGGGGATGATTGGAATGGTTAAGTTTTTTCTTTAGAAATTTATTTCCTCCCTCCATAGTTGGTCACAATTTTTCATTTATTCTTTTTTTTTTGAAGGAAAATTTTCATTTATTCTTAGAGTAATTCATTTCTTACCTTAAAAAATTATCCATTTCAATACAATCTTCTTCGGCCTTGGTTTGAATATCTTTTTATCCTCCATATGTTTGGGTGATAAAATTTTAAATTCCAAGAAATTTAGGCGTTGTAACGAAGACATTGATGACAAAAGGTTACGTGGGAAGGATTAGATATTCACCAGCATTACAAAAGGCATGTGAGAATTATTTACAAATAACTACTTGAAATGAGTCATTTACAAATCCGATGTTCAAGGCATTGCACTAAAATTGAAAGGGATAAAGCAGATACCAATTTATATAGCTTGTAATTGAAGGGCAGTGCACTTAATATGTCTATGATAACCCATGTTCACTCATGCTGCCTCTAGACAAACTTCGTAGTCTCTGCCAAAACTTCACTTTTCTCCCTGTCCTCAGAGGTCCCGAACTAGAGTACCGCCTGAAAGACCCGAATTCCTGCCCTTCAACCTTGAGTCCCTCCACAGATGCACTTAGCAAATCCGATGTTGATGGTATCTTGGTGTCGTGGCCAGCACCAAATACAGCCGGCAGCTCCTGCTCATGCAGTGATCGTGATACTTCCAAGTTACCGCTATCTATATGAAGGGAAAGATCATCTTGACCACAACCTATTGAACCCCCCGGTTCTTGTGTTTCGTTGAACTCATTACATACTAGCTTTAAGGCCTGCACAACCTCACCCATGAAGGGGCGGTGAGATACTTCTGGTTGTATGCACATTGAAGCAATTGCTGCCACCTTGGTCACACTATCCCATGAGATATCGGATGGCTTTAAGGCTGGGTCTATAACTGTTTCTATCCCCTCCTTGCTTGTGAGAAGAGGCCGCGCCCAAGCAACAAGGTTTTCTTGGCCTGGAGGTTGTGACAGGTCCACTGGCTTTCTCCCTGATAGAAGCTCAAGAAGGACTACACCATAGCTGTAAACGTCGCTTTTCACTAACAAATGGCCGGTCATTGCATACTCTGGAGCCAAGTACCTGGAATATGAAACAAGATTAGTTATGTGCACACTAACCAAATTACATACATATTTATGAGAGGAGTAATGTTCTCCAAACATGTCAAAACTCAGGAAGTGAGGAAAATTACGATACATATTCGATGGTAAAAGAGTTCATACCCGAAAGTTCCCATGACATGTGTTGAAATATGTCTCTTCCCCTCCTCTAATGCTGCTCTAGCCAATCCAAAATCTGAAACCTTGGGTGTACAATCGTATTCCAACAAGATATTGCTGGCCTTGAAGTCACGATGTATAACACGAGGGTTTGAGTCTTCGTGGAGATAAGCTAAGCCCCGAGCTGCACCAAGGGCAATCTTTATTCTGGCATCCCAATCAAGCGGATCATTTTCCTTGTCAATGCCTGTGAGGACACGAAAAGAGGTCATTCACAATTCAAAGCAGTATCCAAGGATAAAAGCGTCTTAATCAACGAAGGAAATGTTGAATTATTGGCATAGAATTTAATTTTTTGAACTTGAATCTACCGTGTAAATGGGATTCAACACTCCCATTTGGAACGAGTTCATATACCAGGCAACGTGCATGGCCCTCTATGCAGATACCAATCAATTTAACCAAATTTCTATGGTGTAGACGGCCAAGCATCTCAACTTCTGCCAAGAATTCCCGGCTACCATGATGATCATCTCTCTTGAGAACCTTGACAGCCACCTCTCTTCCATCATCTAAAATTCCACCGTAAACAAGCCCAAACCCACCTTCTCCCAGTATTCTCGAGGCATCAAAAGTATTAGTTGCTCTCTCTATGTCATTCAAAGTGAATGTTTTAGCAGATCCAGTATAGTTCATGGTGCCGGAGCTCAAGGATGTTGATTCAGAACCACGCATGCTTCCAAACATCGCTGACCTTGGAGGCCCTGTGAAGTATATAATGTCATTATTTTAGTGTAACTGTGAAGAATGCCAGAAAATTTCGATTATAAAACAAAAATAATTTCTCAAACACATTCCCAAAACATTCTGAATACCTGAGAGTTTTGTAGGAGAGGATGATAAAGTTTGTGCAAAATTTTCCTGTTGTCGGGCACAAGGTCCACATTTCAACAACAAAATCCAAATACCTCCCACACATAAAAGAAAGGCTGTGAAGGATGATAGAGCAATCACAGCAATCATACTTCTTCCAAGTCCACCTTTTTTTCTCCTCGGCACATCAACACCTAAAGGTTTTATTGCCCTTCCATGGTTGTCATTTCCGATGTATGGCCCATCATCTATAGTAGAAATGGTTGACGGTGCTGAAGGGGGAGAAGGTGGGAGACCTGTACATGTGCAAGAATTTCAGAAGTAAGGGATCCAGATATAGGATTAAGAGGTACGTATTGGAAGTTTAACATATTAAGCTCGTCATTGAAGCCTTTCAAGAAGTCAAGGATCAATTTATAACCTGGATAGTGAACATACAAGACTTCATAATCTCCAAAGAGCGAAGGCTTTATGGAAACCTGTCTGCGCCAGAATTTTTCGTAGATTTGGAATGCAGTAGTGCCATCAAACGTTATTCCTGTGGGTACCAAGTTAATGAGGACAGCGCTTTTCTCTAGCTGCTGACTAGCTGCATCTGCTCCCATAATTCGAACTTGGCTACGGTTTATTGCCACACTGGCTGCAATTTCCTCAGCCAGCTCTGTAACTAAAGGGAAGAATGTGTATATTGCAACATCTAGTTGGAGTTTAACTTGAATTGGCCTCACACAACCACAGCTTGATCCAGGAGGTGTATAAGTCAACGGTTCTGTACATGTGATTGATGAACAATCTACAAAAACGATTAAACAGAGTTACTATATTTTGAAGATAAAAAATTGGGAACTATTTTAAATCAATAGAACGGCTGAGTATATACCTTCGTTGGGAGGTGGAGGTGGTAGTGCTAAAATTGGTGATGGTTGTGGAGCCCTTGTCGTCTTGAAGGAAGAATCGACGGGAGAAGCTGCAGGGGGGAAGATGGGCACTAGAAGAGACGAAAAAAATCACAATTTAGGTTAATGAAGTAAGGACTTTTTTTATTAATGCTACCAAAACTGAAGTGAGGCTTCCCATACTGTTATGGTGGCTTGTGAGAGTTGTCGGTGATGGTGCAGGTGCAACCCAGCTCCTTGACGGAGAGAGTGACTGAACAGGTGAGACTGAAGGGCCTACACATTTTTCATAAAATAAATAATATATGAATGATCTCATTCAAGAGTATAGAACACTTTTTGTTAGAGATTTGAACCTTGTCCATTGTAAGTGTTTGCATGAAACGGATAAGTTGGTCCTGGAGCAGAGCTGTGGAACTTTTTTCTACTGTGGTGATGTTTTTGATGTGAGACCAAAGGAGAAGATACGGGACCATGCACCCATTTCGTTGCAGGACCTCCGGAGGGTGACAGAGAAGGTGGAACTGCAATACTTGAAGGCCTTAAGGCATCGCGAGGATGGGTGGCTTCAACAAGAAAAATTATTTTGGTTATTGTTACATCATTACACAGACAGGAAAATTCAATTATCACTTCTTTGATTGAATTTTCATTCTGATATTTTCCTTCCAGATGAATACAACGGTTCAACTACATTAATTAGTGAACTATAACAATGAGGCGAAAATATAGACGGATGTTAAAACGTCAACCTAAATATGCAGTGATAAGTATACTAAAGGGGCGATCTAACTAATCGCTTCTTGATTTCTCATTTTCATAGGCTATATTTCTGGCAATGCAAGTTAAAACCAACATTTCGAATAACTGAGAACTAGAAATACATCGAGGTGGCTCTCAGATGGTGAACACGAAACAAGGTAAAGTCCAACCTAATGCACCTCAGATAAATGAATCATTATAAAGAGGCAACAAATCTTTACTCATATATATGGGGGAGGTAACCATGAAAGGGACTATGCATTTACAGAGGACTCCTTAGAGCGAATCGCTCTCGGAGTGGAATTTGGAAAACAACCGATATGGACGTGTAATTCGGTTGGAAAGGTATAAATCAAAATTCTGATTTTACAAATCGACACCATTTATGAAAATAACTATAATCTATAAATAAGTTGGTGCTCCCTTCACCATTACACTCACCGACTGCTGGAGCTACCACAAAACTGAATAGGTAAAGAACCAGTTGATCTCGCAATTTCGGTCATTTTTTGAAACTAACAATCACAAGAAATTCGAAAATGTCCTGCTGGAGTGGCCTAGAATTTCCTATTGAGCACATGGACTTCCAAGCTC